GCCAGAAGCCAGATTTTGGATCGTGTGTACAGGGAATTCTGATCGTAATTGTACAGTGATCACTCAAACAGTAACACCCATCTATTAAATTATATGACTGAAGAACATTGTACACCACCTGACCTGACCTGATGTGGTAGGGGTCATAGGTAACGGTATACAAGGAGGGCCCTATTAAAATATCACTTTTTTTCGGGAAATTTGTTTGTCTATAAAATATTTATTACCTAAAATATTACTAGTTTAGTGATTTTTTTTTTGTTTGTCAGAAATGAAAAAAAGCATGAATGATTTTTTTTCTAGTATTTTTCGACTCGATTTAAAATTTCTTTCAAAACAAAGGGAATGAAACGACTTGACATGACCTAACTACATTTATAATGTGTTTTACCTCGGTTAGGTTAGGTTAGGTAAGGTTAAGTAGGGTAAATAGGAAAATGAACTATCCTAAGAAGCCAGTTCGTAACAACACCTCAGTTGAGCATAAACAGTGTGCGTGTGTTTGTTGTGTGTGTGTGTGTGTGTGTGTTGGGGCTCTAAGGTACTATACTATCCAAGCTAATGCTCTCTTTTTCTCGTTTAATATGGCTGGATTGTTTAGTTTAGCTCCCCGTTAGATGTCTCCGTTTTCTATGTTTGGTTCTCGTTTTCTGTTTCAGTTTCATTTTCTTCCTCGTTTTCTGTTTCATGATCGAGGTCTCTCGCTTGAATTTCTAAATCTTCATCTTTTTCATCTTCATCACCTTCGTCATCATCTCCTCCGTCATCATCTCCTCCGTCATCATCACCATTATCATCATCTTTATCATCATCACCTTCACCATCATCATCTTCATCATTATCATCACCATCATCATCTTCATCATCATTATCATCATCATCATCATCATCATCATCATCATCATCATCATCCTCGTCACTATCATCGTCATCATCTTCGTCACTATCATCGTCATCATCTTCGTCACTATCATCATCATCCTCGTCACTATCATCATCATCATCTTCGTCACTATCATCATCATCATCCTCGTCACTATCATCATCATCTTCGTCACTATCATCATCCTCGTCACTATCATCATCCTCGTCACTATCATCATCCTCGTCACTATCATCATCATCCTCGTCACTATCATCATCCTCGTCACTATCATCATCCTCGTCACTATCATCATCCTCGTCAGATTCTTCCGAGGAGGACGAGCTGTCTCCACCATCATCAAGGCCTTGCAGTAAGTTGACCCTCTGTTCATAGTGATTCAGCTCCTCCTCGCCCTCTCTATGGCGTCGGACCCCTGAGGGAGGAAAGTACAAGAGGTCAGGGGTCACTAGGAGGTCATGGGAACTAGATAGGAGGTTATAGAAACTAGCCAGGCAATCATGAGTTCACATAAACTAGCTAGGAGATCATATTAACTAGCTAAGAGGTCACATTAACTAGCTAGGAGTTCACGAGGATACATAAACTAGCTAGGAGGTCATAGGAAGCAGCTAGGAGGTCTTAGAAAGTGGCCAGGGGGTCAGGAGGACACATAAACTACCCAGGAGGTTAAAGGAAGTCTCTAAAAGGTCATGGGAACTAGCTAGGAGAAGGCCATGATTACAACACAGGAAACAGAGGGTAGCCACTAGTGGAGTACCCCAAGGCTCAGTACTTGGACCATTAGTATTTAGCATACATACTCGTAAACGATATAGATACAGGCGTAGACATCAACAAGGTAAATTTGCTGACGGCACCAAAATAGGGCGTGTAAGTAAATCTGACGAGGATTCCGCAAAACTATAGGCTGATCTAAAAAAATAATTCGCATGGTCTGAAAAATGGCAGATGAAATTTAATGTGGACAAATGTAAAGTACTTAGTCTGGGAGATGTAAACAGAGAAACCAGATAAACAACGATGTTATAGAGAAATCCGATTATGAGAAAGATTTAGGAGTAATGATAAGTAGGAATCTTAAACCAAGTCAACAATGTGTATTTGCTCGAAACAAGGCTAACAAAGTACTTGGGTTCACACAAAGGAGTGTTAGTTACAAGACTAGCGAGGTCATCCTAAAGCTATATCATGCGCTTGTGAGACCTCATTGATTACACAGTTCAATTCTGGTCACCGTATTACAGAATGCATACAGAATCCTTAGAAAGAATTCGGAGGAGAATGACAAGACTAATCCCGGTGCATTAGGAACCTTGATTACAGAGACAGGTTAAAGCATCTTAATTGACACTCCCTCGAGAGACGTAGAGTGAGCTTGAGGTGTATAAATGGAAGTCAGGGCTGAACAAAGGTGACATTACAAAGGTACTCAAACTATCAACCAGGAGCGAACTCGTGACAATGGTTTTAAATTAGACAAATTTAGATTTAGGCGAGAAATAGGTAAACAATGGTTTGGAAATTGAGTAGTGGACGAGTGGAACAAGGTATAAAACATCTTCAATAACTCGAACACGCTGGGTAGCTTCAAACACAGGTTGGGTGGATATATGAGCGATAGGGGTTGGGTGTAAACGGGACTGCCTGCTTTCCTCCATTCTTATGTTCTTACTAGCAATAGCCAATTATAACTAGCATACTAACCCGTAGAGAGGCTAAAGGTTAATACCATATAATATCAAGTGTATAATGACATATTTTTTGTGTATAAATTCATATATCTTTGTATATTTATATATATACATCATTACACATAGCTGTACGTAGAGTTATCATTGCCTATAACTGAGATATAGTCCTTCTATTGCTAGGATATGTACTTTTACCTGTATATAACAGAAATATATCATTATATAGACCCGTAGCTGTATATTATGTCTTCATTAGCTAAAATATATATTAATCCGTCTCTATATGTATGAATAACATTATTTATAGGTGAAATATATCTTTGTATATTTTTAACTATCTATATATATTCTATAGCTGAAATATATCCTGCCATAGCTGAAATATATCCTGTCATAACTGAAATATATCCTGCCATAACTGAAATATATCCGTCTGTGAAATATATCCTGTCATAGCTGAAATATATCCTGCCATAGCTGAAATATATCCTATAACTGAAATATATCCTACCATAACTGAAATATATTCTGCCAGAAATATATCCTGTCATAGCTGAAATATATCCTGTCATAGCTGAAATATATCCTGCATAGCTGAAATATATCCTGTCATAACTGAAATATATCCTACATAACTGAAATATATTCTGCCATAACTGAAATATATCCTGTCATAGCTGAAATATATCCTGTCATAGCTGAAATATATCCCGCCATAGCTGAAATATATCCTCCATAACTGAAATATATCCTGCCATAGCTGAAATATATCCTCCATAACTGAAATATATCCTGCCATAGCTGAAATATATCCTCCCATAACTGAAATATATCCTGCCATAGCTGAAAATATCCTGCCATAGCTGAAATATATCCTGCCATAGCTGAAATATATCCTGTCATAGCTGAAATATATCCTGTCATAGCTGAAATATATCCTGCCATAGCTGAAATATATCCTGTCATAGCAAATATATCCTACCATAACTGAAATATATTCTGCCATAACTGAAATATATCCTCCCATAACTGAAATATATCCTGCCATAGCTGATATATCCTCCCATAACTGAAATATATCCTGCCATAGCTGAAATATATCCTGCCATAGCTGAAATATATCCTGCCATAGCTGAAATATATCCTGTCATAGCTGAAATATATCCTGTCATAGCTGAAATATATCCTGCCATAGCTGAAATATATCCTGTCATAGCTGAAATATATCCTCCCATAACTGAAATATATCCTGCCATAGCTGAAATATATCCTCCCATAACTGAAATATATCCTGCCATAGCTGAAATATATCCTGCCATAGCTGAAATATATCCTGTCATAGCTGAAATATATCCTGTCATAGCTGAAATATATCCTGTCATAACTGAAATATATCCTACCATAACTGAAATATATTCTGCCATAACTGAAATATATCCTGTCATAGCTGAAATATATCCTGCCATAGCTGAAATATATCCTGCCATAGCTGAAATATATCCTGTCATACTGAAATATATCCTGTCATAGCTGAAATATATCCTGCCATAGCTGAAATATATCCTGTCATAGCTGAAATATATCCTACCATAACTGAAATATATTCTGCCATAACTGAAATATATCCTGCCATAGCTGAAATATATCCTGCCATAGCTGAAATATATCCTCCCATAACTGAAATATATCCTGCCATAGCTGAAATATATCCTCCATAACTGAAATATATCCTGCCATAGCTGAAATATATCCTGTCATAACTGAAATATATCCTGCCATAGCTGAAATATATCCCCCATAACTGAAATATATCCTGTCATAGCTGAAATATATCCTCCCATAACTGAAATATATCCTGCCATAGCTGAAATATAACCCCCATAAGTGAACTAAATCTTACCACGGGGAGATAGACCACTTGGGGATGGTATCCGTCTTTACCTGCCGTGTACCGTACCAACACCTGGTGACCAATCTTGTCCACGTAGGCAAATGACCCCGTGATCTGCGGAGAGTAGAGGGAAAGGGTCATCCTAGGTCAGAAGAGAGAGAGAGAGAGTTGGGTGTGGCAATACTGTGTATACTCCCGGCAGCTTATAGAGAGAGAGACGTATTTACAACAGCGATGGAAGGCCGGGGAAGAGGCGTTAGTAAGGGCTTGGTGTGATGACCGATGGCGTATATTAAAGAGAGTTAATATTATTTTTAAGAGCGTTGTGGTATAGGCATGTGAGTAAATGGCGGCCTTGTTGATGGAGAGAGATACCTTCTAGCACCAGTTGGGAGGAAAATTAACACTGTGACTCTACCTTAACTAGATACGTTCACTTAGCATCAGTTGGGAGAAAATTAACACTGAGACTCTACCTTAACTAGATACGTTCACTTATCAGTTTAGGAGAAAGTACTTACTGTGACTCTACCTTAACTAGATACGTTCGCCCACTTTTCCAGTTAGGAACAAAATTAACACTGAGACCTTTACATGGCAGATACGTTCATAGCGCAGTTAGGAGGAAAATTAACACTAAGACGCTACCTTAACTAGATACGTTCACTTAGCATCAGTTAGGAGAGAAAATTAACACTGTGACTCTACCTTAACTAGATACGTTCACTTAGCATCAGTTAGGAGGAAAATTAACACTGTGACTCTACCTTAACTAGATACGTTCACTTAGCACCAGTTAGGAGACAAAATTAACACTGTGACTCTACCTTAACTAGATACGTTCACTTAGCATCAGTTAGGAGGAAAATTAACACTGAGACTCTAACTTAACTAGATACGTTCACTTAGCACCAGTTAGGAGACAAAATTAACACTGTGACTCTACCTTAACTAGATACGTTCACTTAGCATCAGTTAGGAGGAAAATTAACACTGAGACTCTACCTTAACTAGATACGTTCACTTAGCACCAGTTAGGAGGAAAATTAACACTGAGACTCTACCTTAACTAGATACGTTCACTTAGCACCAGTTAGGAGACAAAATTAACACTGAGACTCTACCTTAACTAGATACGTTCACTTAGCATCAGTTAGGAGGAAAATTAACACTGAGACTCTACCTTAACTAGATACGTTCACTTAGCATCAGTTAGGAGGAAAATTAACACTGAGACTCTACCTTAACTAGATACGTTCACACTTAGCACCAGTTAGGAGACAAAATTAACACTGAGACGCTACCTTAACTAGATACGTTCACTTAGCACTAGTTAGGAGACAAAATTAACACTAAACACGCTACCTTAACTAGATACGTTCACTTAGCACCAGTTAGGAGACAAAATTAACAATGAGACTCTACCTTAACTAGATATGTTCACTTAGCATCAGTTAAGAGGAAAATTAACACTGAGACTCTACCTTAACTAGATACGTTCACACTTAGCACCAGTTAGGAGACAAAATTAACACTGAGACGCTACCTTAACTAGATACGTTCACTTAGCACTAGTTAGGAGACAAAATTAACACTAAACACGCTACCTTAACTAGATACGTTCACTTAGCACCAGTTAGGAGACAAAATTAACAATGAGACTCTACCTTAACTAGATATGTTCACTTAGCATCAGTTAAGAGGAAAATTAACACTGAGACTCTACCTTAACTAGATACGTTCACACTTAGCACCAGTTAGGAGACAAAATTAACACTGAGACGCTACCTTAACTAGATACGTTCACTTAGCACTAGTTAGGAGACAAAATTAACACTGAGACGCTACCTTAACTAGATACGTTCACACTTAGCACCAGTTAGGAGACAAAATTAACACTGAGACGCTACCTTAACTAGATACGTTCACTTAGCACTAGTTAGGAGACAAAATTAACACTGAGACGCTACCTTAACTAGATACGTTCACTTAGCACCAGTTAAGAAACAAAATTAACACTGAGACTCTACCTTAACTAGATACGTTCACTTAAAACCTAACCTTACTTACCCTAACCTAACCTCACCAAAACCCAACCCAACCAAACCTAACCTAACCTCACCAAAACCCAACCAAAACCTAACCTAACCTCACACTATAACCTTATCTAACCCCATAAAGGTTATCTTAGTCTTAGATCCATAAAAGAAACAAGTTTAAAATACCACAAACTAAGATCAAACTCCTAGCTCCTGTAATACAAGTCTAGTTCACAATTCACTGAGTTTATAACACGAAGTAACTTTCAACTTGTTTCGTAAGTGTAAGTGTAAGTGTGAGTGTAAGTGTGAGTGTAAGTGTAAGTGCAAGTGCAAGTGTGTGTGTGTGTGTGTGTGGGTGTGTGTGTGTGTGTGTGTGTGTGTGTGTGTGTGTGTGTGTGTGTGTTTTACTATAGACTCAAGAATCCGGTTTATAATTAACTAAGTAGCTTGTGATCTATTTATAAAACACATACGTGGTTCATGGTTATTGCTGGTTTAACTGTATATGTCTCTGGTTTATACATAATATATAGTATAAACTTTCTTCATATTGGGTTTAAAAATCTTGTTTTATAGGCACTTATAGCTTGCTGGTTTATATAATATGAAACTGAAGTGGTTTATCTCTCTACATGTACAAGGATTACATGGTTTAACTGTCTATAAGTTTAAAATATATAAGATAAATGGTTTAACTCTTAGTATCTTACTAAAACAGACATAAAATTTGCCTGGTTTAACTCTTTGTCTTTCAGATTAACTTGGTATCTTTGTATCTTACAGGTTTTAAATATCAAACCCATACGATATCTTACAGGTTTAACTCTGGTAGGTTTATGTTTTTTTACTCTGGTAAGTTTATGTGCTTTCTAAATCTAATTAAAATGAATAAGGCAAACTGGACTGTTAACTTTATAAGAAAAACACCAAAAAATATAACTCGTTTACCTGTGTGTGTGTATGTGTGTGTGTGTGTGCTTAAGTGCTTGTGTTTTTTATGACTGTATGTGTGTGTGTGTGTGTGTGTGTGTGTGTGTGTGTGTGTGTGTCGTGGGGTCCACTGTTAACGTTCTCTGAGTGAAAGTAGCGTCACTCAGGACTCGTTCACAAGCTTATCAGGAAATTGCAATGTAATGTGTCAGCTGCTGTTGTGTGCTGGCTAGAGATGTGCTGCTGTGCTCTACCAAAACTGTCGTGGTGCTGTGTGTGTGTGTGTGTGAATGAATGAGAGTATATGTGCGTGTGTGTATGTGTGAATGAGAGTATATGTGCGTGTGTGTGTGTGTGTGAATGAGAGAATATGTGCGTGTGTGTGTATATATATGTATGTATGTATGCATGTGTGTGTGTATGTATGCAAACCTAACTTCATATTCTTCAGTAAATTATGTCACAAGGGCCAAGCACCCAGCCTCGGTAACACTATAAAGTTCAAGCATCAATAAAGTCACTAGAAACTCACAAAGTTCTGAGTGACTAAGTTGGGCTGAAAGAAGTACAGTATGATCCTACAGAGAGCTTATATTTACATACTCGAGAACTATGTTTATGTGATGCTTTGCTGTGTGATCTGATGCGCCTTTGGGGGGGAGGGGGATTAGTAATTGATTGGTCATTTATTTTGTTTATTTGTATATCCATTTTGACTTTTTATACGATAATATTGACCATCGAGTCGACATTTTGGTAGGACATGTTTACTTAGCAACCAGTAGCCAATCACCTTCCATGATTTGAGGTGGTTGCTAGGGACGCCAAAAGTGGGCGGAGCTTACTCGATAACTAACATGTGTGTGTGTGTGTGTGTGTGTGTGTGTGTGTGTGTGTGTGAGGGATAAGATGACTACCTGTTCTATACAACTAATTAATATACGAAACTGATTCACAACTCACCTGACCATGCCCGTCTCTGTGCTCCCACCTGGACTGCTGAGGGAGGGAGAAGGAGAAGTCGTAGGTGCCATCAGAACCATGGAGATATTGGTGGTGATAGCCCTCGTAGGTGGAGAGTCTTGGGAGGTCTTGTTCGCGAATATCTCCTACAGGTATGACACCAGCGTAAGACCTCCCCAGCAAGAGTATTACAACTATCTGTAGAAGGTGACGCTAGTTAGTGTAGTCGACATTAAACACCTCCATACAGTCTAAAACCTACCAGTCAGTATAGTCGACAGGAAAACATCTCCATACAGTCTAAACCTACCAGTCAGTATAGTCGACAGAGAAAAATCTCCATCCATACAGTCTAAAACCACCAGTCAGTATAGTCGACAGGAAAACATCTCCATACAGTCTAAACCTACCAGTCAGTATAGTCGACAGAGAAAAATCTCCATCCATACAGTCTAAAACCACCAGTCAGTGTAGTCGACAGTCTCCTTCACACCAGTCACTATAATTAAGAATCCATACAAAAAAAAACATTATAAAGAAAATATTCAAGATATCAATTGAAAACTTATAGAAAAGACTAAATCGAGCAGGAACAATGCCTGGGTGACATCATTCAGACACGCAGTTTCACCACATCAGAGTTAATGTTGAAAAATAAAGTAAAAACAAGAAGCAATTATCATTTAACTTTCTGGAGACCAAGTTAACACCTCGAAGCAACTTGTCCACTGAACTAAACATGATGTACCTTTAACATATGACGTGAGGCAAAACTGGTAGGTATTTGGGGCCTTTGTTCTGGTAGGGGTTGTGGTAGGAGTTGTTGCAGGGGTTGTGGTAGGGGTTGTGGCAGGGGTTGTGGCAGGGGTTGTGGTAGGAGTTGTTGCAGGGGTTGTGGCAGGGGTTGTAGGGTTGTTGCAGGGGTTGTGGTAGAGGTTGTGGTAGGAGTTGTTGCAGGGGTTGTGGTAGGGGTTGTAGCAGGGGTTGTAGCAGGGGTTGTAGCAGGGGTTGTGGCAAGGGAACACCATCGTAAAACACATAAATTACATGAATAATAAATCAATGAATGACTGGCAGTGATTGATGGGAGTATCTGTTGTTCTTGTTATGAAAGCTGAAGAAGATTGTATAACACGTCGTGAACACCGCTAACGACGAGTGAGTAATGCATGAAGAATATAGTAAGTATTGTCTTTTTAATTTCTAACCACTATGTAAATATAACGAGTAAAAGATGTGAGTAAATAAAGTGAAGAGGTAAAGAAAACATCAATGAACTGGTCCTCAAGATAATGTGACCATCGCTCACCAACGAAGACATGCCCACGGTCACCATCATCACTATCTTTCTCTCGACGACTGGAGACAACAAGCACAGCACTGGTAGGAAGTGTAGCTAGCTAATACAACACTAGCAGGGGGGTGTAGCTTGTACAACACTGGCAGGGGGTGTAGCTTGTACAACACTGGCAGGGGGTACTAGCTCTCACAACACCACCTGTTATTTCTACACCACACTGTCTTCTTTGTCACCCCGTCGTCCACACCCTCTCAGTACCGCTGCAAGACGGCGACTCGAAAACGTTGTAGGTGTGTCAGTGCTTTTATCGAGTTTAAAGTCAGAAGGTTGGCAGCCGGGGCGGTCAGTCAGGGCAGGCAAAGCAGGTTGATGATTGGTTCCTTTCACGGCGACCTGCAGACCAATCACGGCCTCTGGTTTCAATAATCACTAAAAGATGTTATATAATTAGAAACGTTATCAAAGGTGTTCTCTTTCCCTCGCGTGCGTTGATATTAATAAGACATGTTTTCAATACTGATCACTTTAGTATCTTCCAGGAATAATATGCGTGATCAGGACTTAAACATTTCAGTATACTTTGTAGCCTGTAGCATGATACTATTAATAGCAAAAGTTATGAATGTCAAATATTCTTGGCTATTTTCAGTGACTATTATTGCTAGTTTTAGGGCTACTAGTCAACTTATGTATATTTTATCGATATTGACAACTAGACAAAATATTCGGGGGTAATATTTCTATCAGTTTTAACCTTCATAACTAATGTCCTATATAAATATTCTTAGGGTTAATATTCTATTGATAATACAAATTTTAGAAGATTTATTAACCACGAAATCGTCTCCTAGGATGATACTCTTGTGGTGTAAATAATAAGTTTCTGTGCGAGTCAATCATCAATTTAACCTTGAGTCTTCTTTTATATCCCTGGCTGAACCACTACAGTTATACTAAAGTCATTTTAATACTAGATCAAGTTATTTTAACCTTTTCCCCCTTTTTTAACCCCATAAGTTTATCATGACCAGACGTTTATCACCACTTCCATCATCTATTCAAACTCGATGACTCGTCCGTTCGATTGTGGTCAGTAAAAAAAAAAATAAAAAAATAATAAGCACAGCATTTTATTAAGGTAGCATTATGTGATATTAAACTGACATGAGAGGGAGGAGAATATTTCAATCATGGCAGTTAATATTAGACATTTAAAGCACCACTGAGATCTACTAGTGTTCGTCTTCATCCCTGGCAGGTGTGAGGACCCAGGTACAGAGGACGATGGAAGGTGTTAGTCGTGATATAATGTGAATTTTTACCAAGTGAAAGGCTTAAAAAATTTCCTCAGTTATCTAGGATTGTAAGAGCTTAAATATGAATCAATAACATACAGGTGAATGGGTATTGTCAAGTGTGTGTGTGTGTGTGTGTACCTGCTTTCCCTCAGCGGTCTATAAGCCGGATCTTTATTGTTCTAACTACTGCTATCGTAACAAGAGACCTTTAAGCCAATCAACTAACGCTGGTGATGCTGCTATAATTAGTATATAATCTACGTACCTAAAATATTACCACACTCATAGCACTCACAAATGTATCTCTTTTTAATTACTTCTATATCATATCCGGAGTAAATAATATCCCCCTTTGGACGGAAATACTGCGGTGAGAATATATTTAGTCTTATATTGAGTTAAGAATATTAATGTACAAAATTAAAGGGGTTGAAATTATCGCACATCTGACACCTGCACGTAAACAAGCAAGATGACGTCTGTAAAAAAACATCACTTTTGGCGCGTCTACTGAGCTGGTTCCTGTTTTTTTAAGTGTCTGCTCTCTCTTTCTCTCTCTCTCTCTCTTCTTCTTCTCTCTCTCTCTAGCAAAATATATATTAAATGAATAAAAAATATAATAAACGAAAGAAGAAAATAAGTAAGAAAATAAGAAAATAAGAGAGAAAAGAAGAAAAAACATTTGATAAAAAAAATTGGCGAAAGATAATATATAATAAACTTAGAGATTAATTAAACAAAAGACAATAAGAATAAATAAAATAAAACTAACAAGAACAAGACAAAACAAATAAATACATTGCAACATCATTTAAATAACTTACTTAGGGTCGTATGATTTGGGGTCTGATTTGAGGTAGGGTCTGATTTTTAGGTCTAATTCTGGGGTCTGATTTGAGGTAGGGTCTGATTTTTAGGTCTAATTCTGGGGTCTGATTTTTAGTGGGGTAGGTTTATAGTGGCATCTATCTTGGGTCTGATTTTGGGTCTGATTTTGGGTCTGATTTGTATTGGGGTCTGATTTGCACCTGAGGCCATTAAAATCTCTCTTAAAAACACGTGGTTGAACTTTACCTTCGTTCAGTGTGTGAGTAAAAACAAACTAATAAAAAACGTGGTTGAACTTTATTGTGATTTATTTCAATTATTCATTATGACACCTGTGTGGTAATTGATGTGACATTAATTGTGGTGATTTAATTAGTTATTTAGATGTATATGTGTCTGTCTGTCTGTCTGTCTTTACTGTTTACTGTCTCTTATTTTTCTTTCCTCTCTCTCTCTCTCTCTAATACTACTACTATTACTGCTGTTAATAATAATAATAATAATAATAATAATAATAATATAATAATAATGGACAGGAGACGGGAAACGACCTCAATCATTTCTTGTATCTCTGAGTTATTCAATACTTGTAGGTCTCCAGTCTTACCTCCTCTCTCTCTCCCTTTCTCTCTACCTCTCTCACTTTAATCCATTCTCTTCCCTTCTACCCT